AATTTTAGGAGTTACAGGCATAATCAATGCGTATTATAGGTACTGATATTTGGTTTTTTTTTAAAATGCCTACTCTGTTAAATATTATGGTAAAATATAGGTTTATAGGATGTGTCCGTGAACATTATATAAATATTTTTTTAGCCGTCATCACTCATCTTAAATATATCTATCTATAATATATTTACCGTTTTCTAGGGCTAACAATCCGAATGTTATTGTATGCTATTGTCTATGATATTACTTAAAAAATTAAAATTGTCAACATTGTTTGAAAATAATATTATGTTAATTTTCATTAGTTATGACTTATGAGTTATATATGACTATAGTGTAATAGAATATTATATTATATTGAGCATGCACTATATGCAGCAGCAGCTATTAAAAATGATTTGTCTTATACATCAAAACATACAACCTATAACCATGTATAATGTATGTATTAATTTTATGGTCACTTTAGAAAGTTCTAAACTAATTGTTTTGATAGATAATACCTTCAAGAGATAATTTTTAGTACGTAGGAACCATATCGTATTTAGGATGAAGATTAGGAAGCATTAGATTATGAAAACAAACAATAAAAATAAAATATGATAGACGTAAAAAGTACATCATAGACGCAAGCTTGTAAATTTAAATAGATAACAATTTTGTATCCATCGTGATAAGTCAACAGAAGACGGTTGGTTTATCAGTTCTTTGTTTTTAAGGAAATTCTTCAGCCACATATTCACCCACCGATGACTGTTTATTTCAAATTTGAAAGTCTCTTCAAGAAAATGATAATTTTTAATTAAGTTAGGTTAAGTTGATAGAAAACATTTAAAAAAATGTAAAGTTAATAGTTATCCTATTTTTTTAAACTCAGTTAAGTTAATTGAAACTTACAACTAACTTATTATGTTAAGTTAAGTTATATATTTATCCTTTTTTAAATATATGAGTCGACAGTGGTTAGGTGATTATTAGCTAGTGGTTATAGACTATAGTTAGGTTAGTTGTTATACCATAGCTATACATATATCATCAATACTAATATTGTATTGTATTTATTATTTAATAATTTATGAATGGTTGAAATTGGATTTTATTAAAAGTATTTCGTTACCTATTTATTTAGTTTATATCAATAAAAATCAGTTAAGTTAAAAATTAATTTAACTTAACCTTATAACTTTTGAACTCGTTTAAGCCCTGCAGGCTTGCAATTTTTTCTTATAACTTACAAGATATTATAATATGAGGAATATTTTAAAGGCAAACACTAATTTTCCTAAAATACATTAATGTTCTTCCCATGTTAGTTTTTTAAAAACATAATTCAAATTCAATACAAAACGACATTTAAAAAAAAATTATATTTTTAAGTTTTTAATTTTCTTGTAATGACAGCATATATTTTTAATTTCATTATTTTTAAATTGAATACATGATTCTCATAAGTAGTTATTTCATATAAATAGTTATTTGAAAATATTAAAAATACATATTAGGAAAATTTTTTTCTTTTATAAGCATTTTAAGTTCAACGTTTTACAATATTTGTCAAAATTACAAAGAATAACAAACAATTTTGTAGTTAAAAATGTTAAAAATGTTCACTTTTTATAGCTTAAGTCTTAAAACTGAATGCAATGTTTCTCATATTATGTAGTTGAGTAGTTCTTGTTGAAATCATTAAGTTTAAAAACTACATAATATTAAAAATGCATATTTTTTTTAAAAATTGTATATTTAAAAGAACAAAAACGAGTTAAATCATTTTGTAATTAAAAATATGGAAATGTGGGTACCGCTCTGCTGTACAAAAGGCGTCATATGGGTCACTGTAATGGGTTTTACACCCAATGAGTTACACCAACATTTTTCATTCGGTTAGTTATTTTTTTTTTTAAATAAACTAAATTAATTTTTTTTGATTAGGTACTGCAAAAGACAGTATAATTTAAAGACTGATCAGTTTAATTACTATTTAGTTCCTTGTCTAATGTAGTTGTTGCACGTAAACTTAACTTAGGTACTAGCGGTTTACATGGTTATTCGTGTGATAATCAACACTATGTAGATAATAAAATTAATTAAAACGAATTAGGCAGTTGAAACTAATGTACGTGTTTTGTCGTGTATAATAATAATGTAATTTTCACTAGAAAATACTTAAGTTTGCACCTCGTCTATATATTATCCATTTATCCAGTACCTATTTATAACCTCTTACATCTGCGTCTCGCCGTGGTGTAATGAAATTGCAAAATGTACCTGGAGTTGATAATTAAAACTCCGGAAATTATAATTAAATATAACATTAAAATGTAATTTACAATATGTACAACTATAAATGTCTAAATATATTTATTTTTCGAAATAATAAGGAACCATTAACCGTTTTCACTTATTGACATGGGTATCCGCAGGGGGGTGCCGGGGGAGCATGTCTCTTTTTCTATATCAAATAATATGAATGTTTAAGCACTTGTATTATACTTGTTTTATATTTTTGCAGGCGCCCTTGCTTATTGTGCATCAAACACTGCACAACAATACAATAATATTATAGAAATACCGTTATACTACTTATATTTAATGTTTTAAATTTCTTAATGTTTTTTTTAATTTACAATTATGCCTCTTTCAAATTGCCATACTAAAAACCTTTATCATTTTATAACTGCTATTAAAGTATATGATCTAAATTAATAAACGGATTATGATGTAACTGCATTGTCACTTGTACATATTATAAACATTTTTAATCTCCCATTAATACCTACCTAGTTAAGACAAATCTTTTTATACCTTATAACATTTTGATTTCAATAAAATATAACACATTTCTGATGAACTTATGAAAACTGTGCACTGGGGTTCACGATCTGCAAAAAAATATTCAGATGCTTTTAAACCTTTTCAAGATTTATATATTATAAGCGTGCAGCATTGTTGTTTTAATTACGTTTAAAAGTCGTTTTTTTCTTTAAAATGTTCTCGAGTGAATATTTTAAAACAACATTATTTTAATCGATTTGTATTTAATTAAGTTAAAAGCAATTTTAGTTATAATTAATCTTAAAATTATAGTGGTATTTTAATATAGATATAGTGGCCACAGTGGTATAATACCTACCTAATACCTAGGTATACCAACGAATATGTTCCCTTGAGAATTTTGGGAACGACTACCTGCGGTTCAATATAATATAGATTAGGTCGTCTGTCGTCTATTGGAAAATTCAAATATTTGCTCAAAGGACGTTGATCAAACACTCGCACTATATTATGTACATACCGGGTGAAAAAAGAGGGATGGTATCTGGTGTACAGGTAATCGTATCCAGTAGAGTACGCCCACCGTAAATATATAATAAAATATATTATAGATAAGTTTTTATTCAAATTTATAGAATTTCTATGATATGATTAAACACGTATTAACGATATTGGTAAATAAATGATTAAAAAGAATAAATATATTATGACCCATCAATTTACAGTCATAATCGTTTGAGTATAATTTACCATACAAACTCAGGTCAATTAATTATTTTATTGATTGGTGATTGGAAAACATTTAAAAAAAATTTATCGTTTAGAATTGGGTTACACACTGTCAAAAAAAAAAAAATACAAATAGGTACATGTTAAATAGTAGGTACTTAAAGTAATTGTTAATACGCAAAACTAAATAAAATAATTAGGAATGTACTTCTACTCAGAATTATACAAAGAACTATATATTCTGGCCAAATGCGATGGTGCCAAAACGTGTCGGATTGTCACTTGTTGATTTATCGCCAAAATTTGATGGTTACGGTTACGGAAAATCTGCAATTAGTGTAATTAATTGATCTTATAAAAAATTTTAGATGAAGGGAAAAAAATTATTCGGATCTATTATACAGTAAGAAAGATATTGAAAAAATTTTAATCCCCACAGACAACAATACGACATCAAGTCTACTGCAGCCTGCAGGCTATTATACTCGTATAGATTATTATGCGAACAAGTCAACAAGGGTTATTATAACATCATAGGTACGACATACTTACTTACAGTAATTGGCGTATCAGCACGACACGTTGACGTCAATATAATAATATGTCATGTCATTTACGGCAAACGCGAGAGTGGTAAAAAAAAATCAATTTGAGGAAAACGATTGGAGGAATATAATATTATTTTGTTGGAAAATAATTGGTTGGAACGTAAAAATTAGGAAAACATTTTTTCTGAGCCTTATACCGAAACGGAGTAGCCCAATTTATTATATACATACAATATACATATATGTCCAACGAATTATTTTCTGAGCAAATACTATTCCTACAAAATATTGTTTAATATATTATTACAGCTGTAACAGCATGAAATGTTTCCTACAAGATATTTTCCGTACAATTGAGTTTCCGATCGAATTCCTTTCCGATACAACGGATTTCGATTACAAGGGATTTAAAAAAAAAAATACAATACTACAATATATTTAACATGACAACATAATTAATAAGCAAGCTAAAGCCTTGAGTTGGAGATAAAGAGTAACACATTAAGAATAAATCAAAATCAAAATAATAGCAGCATTTAAATAAATGCGGATGTATTATAACCATGTTTTGATATGAATATACAATTCCAAAAATATGTGCGTCCAACTGGACATTTTTCATCAAAAATACATTTGCCAATGAAAAATTGTCCAACTTATGAGCTCCCAAACCGACGCCATCACCGCTCACTGCAGTGAGCGTTAGTCAAGGCGTAAATATTACACACACACACATACACATTTAGTGTGTGAGTATATTCGTGTATTTATTAATAGCAGTCCTGTATCGGACTGCAGAGTGCAGAGATATTTTGACGTCATCCTCCGAACGAGCGTTTCTTACATTTTTTCATCTCGTCCCCCGCCACGCGGTGTCCCGTTCGTCACCGCTGCGGCAGCTACGACTGTCCCCCCCGTTGCATTTTTGTCCGTCCGCAGCGCAACGCCATCGCCGTCGGTGCAGTGCGTTACGCGTCGCCCGTGTTTTCGTTTGTGCGTACGATTTATCGTTATTGTAGTGTCTTATGTACCATATACGAAATTCAAATTACTATCGTGATAATAATAAACGTCGACGGGAAAACGAGAGTTGCCATTACGATCGTAAAACAATACAATAATATAACAATCATAATTAATTACCGTCGTCGCGCCGTTTGTCAGATCGCCAAAGGGGAATTTCAACGTTTAGTGTGCGTCAGCCGCCGCCGCAACACCACCAGTCCAGTGCATCTCGTAGTTGCAGCCGGCGCCGAGTGCGATTTACCAACGTCCCCGTTACCACTTACCGGGTATATATCGCGTGGTTACCCCGCCGACGTCCGAACGTGAGTGCGCGCGTGCGCAGTACCGACCGCTGAAGTTGCAATAATACTATCATCAAATTATCATTATAGTGACATAGTGATCGTCCCAGTACCTGTGTATTTCCCGACTTCGCCGAGACCGGTTCACACGCGGCGCGAATCATGTTCGTCGACGTGCTCAGGCGGTACTTGCTGATCGTGTGGAACTTCTTCTTCGGACAGGTAAGCACAAGATATTATATTACCATTATTTATTTAATAATTAAAAACAACTGCTGCCACCCGGCCATCCCCTAATTGTTTCGTCGTCGATAATAATTTATTGTTAAATAGTGAGACAGCGGTGTCCGTGGACGAATTTCCGAGCGTTTCCTGCAGCGTTTGCAGTTCGAACCTCATGACATTTTTATCGTTGAAAAACATTAGGTAATAATAATGGATAGGTACGATTGTCAAACGTTTTAAGTTTTGTAGCCGTGCTTAACGGCGGCGGTGGACGATCGATCGTCGTCGGAATCGGATTTCCACCGGCTGTGTTTTGTGCGCGGGGCCCGGGGAGTGAGCACACCATATGTGTGTGTCTACTGCAAATAAAGCAAAAAACATGATTAACTACAGGTATAATAGACATGTAGGTGAGTCCCGGGTCTATGTAGGACGATCCAATGTTGCATTTTTCCCCTTTCCCACCTGAACAATGTAATGATAATAATAATATAATATTATCGCGTATTGACGCGTAACGACTGTCAGCCGATTGCGATTTTTAGTTTTTACGGTGTAACGCGATTTCTCTGAAGATCGATCGTTCTAAATCCGTCGCCGTTATTGCCCGAGGTCGAGTACAAGGTTTCCGTACCGAGACAGTCGCGTACCGATGTGTAGGCGTGTTGTAACATAATAAAAATAATAATAATACGATATTGGATTAAAATAATTCAATTAAATTCGAAAACGAAACAAGCGGTAATAATATTATCATTTAGACCACCGTATAGCACACACGGCGCACCAGACATATTATTTTGACTATCGTTACACCACTTCGTCGGCTTGTGGTGCGCCGTCTCTATTTATAAACGTGTCTATTTCGTGTTGTAGATCTCCGTCGCCGGTTTTTATTATAGAACGAGAAATTCGGCAACGCACGTGGGGCGACGACATAATACAGTTTTTTTTTCACTAGTACTACCTTAGTACTTCCGGAACAATACATATTATGGTCGACATCGATCATTAAATTTGATCATTATTATAAAATTATTGTTACCGCAAAATCGAGTTTTAATTATCGGCACACGATAAAAAAATAATTATGGATAAAATACTTTTCAAATCTATTATCGTGATAATAAATTAATAACCACAAATTTATTATAATAATATATAATATTATTTATGATACCTACTTAATAAAATTAATAATTATTACCTATTATTGTATTAATGCTTTCATCGTCACTGAGTGTGTGTGCTGTGTGCACCAAATATAACGTTTGTGCTTTCCTACGACGAGACCGTTTAAGAGGTTACGCAATCGGCAGTACACGCAAGTCGTTAAATTTAGATATAGGTACGATGTGCAGCAATTGTTACACAATCGGCGCTGTGTTTAGACTGCGATACGCTTTATATAAGTCTAAAGATGACTGAACTTTGAAGACTATACTAATTACCCAAGCATACATGGCGTTATGATTGATGTTCCGTATTTAACGCCCAAAACGAACAGTTTTCAAGTTCGAAAGCCCAAAATCCACCGTTAGTGTTTATCAAAAAAAATTTCGAAGTGGGTACATTATTTTTCACTTCCAAAACTATTTTTTCAACATAAATCGTGCTCTAGGTAGTTATAATCGGTGAATGAAAAAAAAATAAATTGTTCGTAAGCACGTCAATCAGTTTAAAAATCGTAATATACCCATGCATATTAATGTGAAGTCCATATTGTTTCTAATAAAATGCGAATTTGGTGTAAAAAGACTTTAAACTGTTCAAGGTTCTCATTTGAGCAATCTCCACCAGCGTTACACTTTGTGAAAAATGTCGATACGGACAATTTTTGTTATTTAGTGTAAATAAGGTGTATAATTATGAAAAACAAAACTATTTCTAAGACAGTAACATGTTCCAAACTTATCTCTTCCGTATAATTTTGAGTTAATACTTTTAAATACTATGTACTTATTAGGTGATATATTATATATTCATATTATAAATATAAAATATTATGGTTAACATCGTTTGTACGAAACTGCACGAGTTAAATGCCTAATTTTTTCTTAAACCGATTAAAAAAACTCTGTATTAGTATTACCCATACCTATATATTATGATACTACAGTACCTACCACGATTATGCGATTAAAGTAAACTCACCCACAAACATCGTGTTTCTTCTCACACGCTGCAGCAAAATGATTATATTCAATCTATTCTGTGCCTATAATATACCTACCCGTTTTCCGGAAAATTTCGATGGTATGTTTCCACGTGGAATTCGCTCAAGTTCGTTTCTCCCTCCATTATATCCTTGTACCATACAATACTTTTCCCAACTTTTACCGATTTAAACCGCGGGGGTCAACGCGTTGCAGTTGGAGTTCAGACGGACAGACTTGATCTTGCACTATGTATTATTAGGTATTATAGCTAACAGCCGTTTAGGCTTGGATTCCGCGAGTGAGTCTGTTAAACAGATAATTTTCGTTGTCTCGTCCTTTCGCCACTTGCATACGTATCTACGAGTAGCGTGACTCACGTTATTATTATCATGGATTAGCATAGGTATAAGATTACCCGCAACATAATGTACGACTCACACCGACGCGTATTATACCGCTGCAGTGCAGTCTATAACAGTCACTGCCGCTGCGCCGTCCTTGAGTAGAACACACACAGGCGGCAGCGGCGAATTGGCGAAACTTCTGCCGAAAAAATTCGTCAAGGTTGCGTCATCGATTCGCTAGCCGTCAAAAACGAATGCTTTTGTATTATTATACGCACCTATACCTATGTAATATACTATACTATTATGCTCGATATATTAATATTATATATAGTGCCCTCGACCAAATCGGAATAATTATCACTCGTGTAATAATTTGTCATCTTCAGATTTAAGTTATTATTGCCCTCGCTGAGTGTTGTTCACCTGTATACAACAGTTGAAAATATTTTTACCGTGATTCATATTATATATTTTTGATTGTCCACCTTGTACAATCGTGGGTTTTGTACCTACACGTAACAAAATCTTTATTTTATACACACACCATGCATCGTCACGCCTACGCGCATATAATTTTGTTTACACCGTGTATGCATTACAAGGTACCATTAAATATTTTAAATGAGTAACCCTGTAATAAGATGGTATTGAGAGGACTTTACTTGAATACATATTTGGTGACATTTTTCTAAACTCCCCGCCGTGAGTGCTATTTGCATTCGTTTAAAGTGACGGCGTTTTAATTTTTACAAGATTCGATTTAGATTCGGCGATTTTTTTTAGTAATTTCTAGTTTTGAGTGTTTTGACGTAGCAACCTGCAGGTTGCCAAAAACGACTACTTTTTGGAATTCGAATGAAAACTGTTTTTTAGCATCTCCTGTGAACTATGTTTTTGGATAAAGTTTTCGAACTCTTTTTTAATCATTGGCTATTGCCTTAAGTATGTCGAAAGTTATGTCGTGCATTTTCCAGTACCCATCCATAAAATATAAAGGGAAATTCATTATTATTTTTAAGAGCTAAAAAAAAATTGTTTCGAATAACATTGATTAAAATTATTGGATGTTTGAATAATATTGGATTTTTGAATACATTTATGACTCCTAGCTATATAGGTATATATGAATAAATAATATAATATTTTCATCATCCGGGAAGGTAACTTCTTATTTATAAAAATGAACTCAACTTGCCGCATTTAATTTTTCTGAAAAAATTTTTTTAGGCTTTCACTAATTATTTTACAATTTAATTCCTGACTGTGTAGTACTGCAGAATAAGCTTACAGTTTTAACAATATTCACGACTCTTGTTATTTTATAACAACGTATAGGTGTAATATTGTTATTATTTTGTCATTATTATTTAACAGTTCCACGAACGCTGTTGTAAATAATATTATGTTATAATGCATTATCCATTGTAAATCTACATCGAACTATTATATATTAATACATTTTACATCATTCCATTACGAGGGCCTGTATTATAGGGCTACGTGCCTACGTATAATGATGATAGTATTATCGCCTCCGTTAACTTTGTACCCGTCTATTGGTGAGGTGGTAGAGGAGTGACGCGGTCGCATCACTGCACTATACAGACATTATCATATTATCATTATTATTATTTTATTTCTATTATCTGGACGTAATAAGAATTTTTCCTATGTGACGGCGTATGACTAATTATTTTAATATTAGACCATCGAACTTATTATATTGAAGTATTTATATCAATGTTTTTGCGACATTCGGAATTCCGATTCGATAATATCAAGTACTATCATGACATGTACTAGCTCGGCGGTACTTACATAATATAATATTACTTATATGAAGTGTACAATTAATATATTATGCGCTCGTTTAAAAATCAAGGCTGGGCAATTCGATAAACATCTTTATATTCATTTAATTTTATTAAAGTTATTTTTTATTTTTTTATTTACTTATATATAGGTATATAAGTAGTAAACTACATTGAAAAAATTGATTTTTAACTTTAATTAAATTAATTTTCTTTGCTTTTGGGTGATTTTGCTTAGTGAACAGCGGTAATGTAACTTCCAACTTCCAAGTGACACATTTATCAAGAATGTCTATACCTACCATAAACGGAAACTAATAATTAATAAACTTATAATTAAATTAAAAATTAACTGATCGCGTCAAAGTTATTCTTAACTCAACTCGTTAATACTTTATGTCTGGCCTCGATATCAATATACCTCCTGTATACCTATGCATATAAATAGTGCATATATTATACAGGAGTATTATTTTAAACACGTGTACTTACCACTCTGCGCTCGAATGTCAATAATCGACTAAGACATTGAAAAATCCAAGTAATAATATTTATTGTGCGCCTCTTGATCATCGTGTTAATTGTGTTTACGCGACGACGAATCATTTCTCCAGACCCTACAATCATCAGCTCGACAATGCGTATAGTATGATAGCAGGTTGTTCGATAACTTACTATATCCCGACTGTGTAATAATTGAAATAATTGAAATATAGTTAATATTTTGTTTATTATATATACATTTTTTTTAAACGAGTAGGTACACATTTTTTTTTTTATCACATTATATTAGTAATATTTTGCCAGATGCTTCATAATTATTATATTCGAACGCTGTACGGGTCCGATTGTATAATAATGATAGTAATAATAATACGTATACGAGAACAATCGTGATTCGTGTTGGGTGTATATACATACGATATTTATATATATGGATAGGTATTGTAAACAGTTACTGCATACTAGGTATATGTATACAGGAACGATTACGAATAATAATTATCTACGTTCGAAGTTACTGTTAAAATGTAAGTTTTAAAAAAGTTTACCTATTATACGCGTTTTATTTATTTTCATATTTTGCATTTATATAAACGTTCGGTTTATGTATGTATTATATTATTATATGTACCTTTCGACAAATTAAAAATATTACAATATACTATTTATATTGATCCTTGTTCTATGTTCATAATACTAGGTTAGGTTAGGTATATATTGCTGACTATGGGGCGACTGAATGGCCGTTATTTCTACGTTGTTTAACATTCAGCGCACGTACCTGTATTAGTGCAGTCTTTATAATATTGTATAATATATATACCTATATATATATAAATATGTATTATGTATTATGTTTATTATACTGCAGTAATTTATAACATATCGTTCAACGTTAAAGCTTATCGTACACGCATTCAGATTGTCGGGAGACATGTTACGAAAGCATATTATGTTTTTTTGTATTATTACAATGTGCTATTGCAGTGCTCGAGTTGCATGAAAAATAGTCGATGGACGTAAAACCATTGACCTATTATTAATAATATTAACATCATCAAACACATGTCATTTTTGAAATAATTAAAAATAATAATAATACTCCATCCCACTATCACACACTTTCTTTGAAAATTCGAGCAATATACGAGTACGAATATGATATACCTAATACAGCATTGGTATAATGATTACAAGCAGTAGGTGCCTCTTCGCAAATGCGGCCTACGATATGAAAAGCAGTTCTTTTAAGCGGGGAAAAGAAAAAATGACAAATGTCCGTCACCTTTATGCATCTACCTTTCTAAACTTACGTCCCCAAAAAACGAGATTAACATAATGACGATTATATTTATTTCACCTGATTCTTTGTACGACAATTATCTTCTTCTCGAATTATGTAAAGTACCTACCTGATATACAGGGTGAAACTCCAGGCATGCCTCAATTTTTTCATTTAATAATAATAATTTATGCATTTTTTTAAAAACAAGCAATAGGTACCTTATTTCAAAATTAATTTATTCAAATTCTGATTCTTAAAATTATTAAGTACTTATATTTGAAGACCATATTTCAATTATTTCGATTTTAATACTTCTTTTAATAGTTCGTATTAGTCATATATAGGTCCGTTAAAATAGGCTTGAAAATAAATTATAGTAATTAATATTAATCTATCAACATTTCATAGTTTGTAACGGTTTGTAATAATGTATGAGGTATTATCCTATATTAAATACTAGATCCAATGTTACATCTATTTTATATTTTTGTATAACCTTTTTAAAGAACAATTAATAAATAAAATCCTCGATATATTTTAACTACTTAGAAAATAAAAACTACTCGTTCGAATTTTGATCAAATAGGTACATGGATATTTTCAAAAAAATCATCTGTTTAACATTTTATAGTAAAACAGGTTGATTCTCATAATATCGTTTGATAATTATTAGTTTGTACTTACCGGCACAAGACTTTCTGTGGTATAAAAAAGCTGAATAATTGAAAATATGGTCCTCGAGTATAAGAATACTTAAAAATAAAAAATCTAGAATTTGAATGACATCTTTATTAAAGAAAATTACGGTGAACGAGCTTCGTAAATTATCCTGCGTATATCAGTCTAATCCTCAATCTATTCTATTTTTAGCTCTGAAGCTGCGAGAAATCGCTCGTTATACTTTTTTAGTGATACGCCTACCCCTTTCTCACATGTAAATCTTCTACGATGCATGTGCGACTACGCTTAAATATTATATGCCATGACCTTGGTATACACACCTGGTCGGTTGAACACCGTACGCAGTCACGTGTGTTGGCGTCAGTGTTCAATGGAAGTTTCGATTTTTTTCATTATAATATCCATAATATTATTTGGGCACGTGCTCGATCTAGTGAAGAGTTTCGCCTACACGAAAGATACGTTTCCGGTTTTTAATTTCCGTTCTGACGGCGACCGTGTTAACGATTTTATAATCTGCAGGCTCAAGTCTGTAATGATCGGACAGGTCGATTTAAAGAAAAAATAATAATATACAATAAATCCGTTGGGTATTACGCGATTTAATAGGATAGAAACGATTAACAATTATACAACATCCGGCTTGGGCAGCTGGTACCTGAAATTTGACGCATGTGTATTGTAGCACACGTAGAATACCCAAATTGAAACCACCCGAGGGACTATACGTGTGATACATCACGAGTAGTATAGGTATCCCGTACTATCATATACAGTTGACTCTAGAAAACCTCGATAGCTCAAATTTTTCTTGTCCCTCGAAATGATATAAGTTATGTTTGAATAGTATAATATAACTCAATAAATACAAAAATTAAAATGCGTATTTTGAACCCCCTCGACTCTCGAGATTCGAATTCTAGAGACTTAACTGTAATCATAATGATGACAGGCGATTAACACATATAATATTAAAATAGTTCTATTATTGTTGTTGCAACATTCATTTGACCCGATTCTTGATCTCGCCTGGTTTCGTATTATTGGTCGTATCAATTTCAAAGTCCACCCACTGAAGTCGTAATATTTTAATTATATCGCCTTATATGTACCTATATATTATTATTTTATGATACCTATTTTAATTATCTTAAATAATAAAGTCTCTTGTTTATATTTCGACGTTCGATTAGGTTTTATTCAAATAATATTTCCTACTAGACAATTCCAAGTTTATTTAATATCGTTAAGTTCAATATTATTATTGATAAACATTTTCTGGTCACAGATTTTTCATTTAATAATTATTTATGATGAGTATTTATATTATAATAGTTTTAAAATTAAAACAATGATCGGGAAACCTATATTTTTATTTATCTAACTAATCAAGTGAAATTTGTTAAACGTAGGCAATGGTTACGAATAATTATAGATTTAGATACCTTCAATATCATGTAAATTAACTTCTTCCTATATCTATTGAAAAAAAATTACAATTGAGTAAATTAAATGTTGTACCTGAACTACTTTAACTTAACTTTTCAAAATTATAAGCATTGTTCTATTTAGTTCATTATACACTTTCTAAAAATATACTCGTATATATTAATATATTCATTTTGTGAAACATCAAGAAAATGTTCACTTATATTTTTGCTTTAAATTCTTAAATATAAATAATATTTTATTTATGTGTAAGATTTAACTACCTCCTAGGTACCTAAAAAATTATTTAGAAGAAAAAAACGATTCTGTAATACGAAAAAACATAAATTATTAGCTCGGGCATTTGTCCAACGAAGACATGTGTTAGTTTTTTAAGTTAAGAATAATTTATAAATTTATAGGTTGTAATAAATGCCTACTTGAGATTTTTGGCATCCGTTTTACTTGTCCATGTGGTGCAGCAGCTGTCACATTATTAATTATTCTTTCCACAACTCAATCGTTAAAATATTCATGATTAAAAATACATTCATTAATTTGACTTTTCTCTTTTCAGGTCTCTACTGAATCGATCAAAGGCAGTCCGCCGTCCTGTCCCGAGGACAAACCTGCAGTTTCGGCTGACGTAGTTTCTCCCATCGAGGTTGTTGGCAATGACGATAAGATCGAAAACGGTGATGACGAAGATGATGATATCGAAGAGATTTTTGATGACGAAGAAGAAGACGGAGAGGAATTGGACTTAGAAGACGAAGATGAAATTGAAGATGACCAAGACGAAAAAGCAGCGATCGTACCCAAAAAACCCGAAGATAAAGTTGTATCGAATGACACGCCTATTAAACCCAGCGTTCCTACCACTAAAACCGAAGAGGTCAAAGCACCAGTCGTTGTGCCAAAGCCGAAAGACGAAATAAAAAAACCAGAGCCGCCAAAAGCCCCCCAGGAAATCAGTGAAAAACCAAAAATTGATGTCGACAACACCAAAAAATCGGAGGCTCCCGCCAAGCTAAAGCCGGAATTCGAGGCAGGTGAGAGGGAAGGAGCTTCAGCTAAAGTTGCGGCGCCCGAAAAGGACGCGTCCAAGTTCAAGTCAGAGTTTGAAATCGTAGAGAGGGAGGACAAAGACGTGCTGCCACCGAAGCCAAAGACCGAGTTCGAAGTGGTCGAGAGAGGCGCGGCGGTGAAACCCGTGCTGCCGCCTCCACCACCTCCAACTTCGTCGTCAGCGACGATCAAAGACGATCCTAGCCGGCCGTCCGAAAAAATCGGCAGCGACGACGACAAAGTCGCTCCGAAACCAGCGGTACCGGAAAAGGCTGCGGCCCACGTGAAATTTCAAGAAGACGACGATACCTCAGGCAAAGTCCACGCACCGGCCGCGGACTTTGCGACTCTGGAAAAAGGTGAAACAGTTGTCAAACCACCGGGTGTAACGACGACTGGACGTAATGCAGCCACCTCAGACGCGGTCGGAGACTTTTTGTCGGCCGAACAGACGCACGGCGGTCAACTCCTGAAAAGTCACCACGAATCCATTCAAGACCAACAGTTGTAAGTCGTCGGTGTCGTCGTCGCTGCCGCCTTCAGTTAGGCTTTTGGCTCCGACCCGTCGTCGTCGTACGATAATAATAATAACATTTATTTGAGTAGTAATAATCGTATATAATGTTGTTATTATTACTGCTGCTGCTGCTACTACTGCTATATAATATATCGTATTACATAATATATTATACGCGGAGAGCTTTTTTTTCTTTTTCATAATAATAATATAATGTAGTTGTCGATTTTATAATAATAATATATTTTATCCTAATTGTTACGTACCTATATCTAATAATATTTAATATAGATATATTTTTATATAAGCAATGTTGTTGAAAGATTTATATAATTGTATTCGTGTAAAACAACTTTTTTTAAAAAAAGAAGAAAATTGACGAATTTATGTATTGAAATAATTAAATATTGTGTTTTTATTGATTTGAATAACATTTTTTTTTTTGTAGTAATAACTCGCTTTGATTAGCTGTGTTTAGATCTACGTCGTTATATATTAATCGAACAGAACGATCTTCGACTTGACTATAGTTCTGTTTTTAATTGTTTTGTTTGATTTAAATGAAATGACCACCAGCTAAAGGTCAATGAACCGAACCGAACAGACATATCTTATAGTATGCAGTTTGTGTACAGATATCAAGATCTATGGTCAATGCCACCTACAAACAGAAAGTATATATATTTTTTAATCCATTGAATTATAAGATAGTTTATATCCAGAACGAATGTAATTAAAATGTATACGTCATGAAAGGAATACATTTTTTGTTTGTTTCTATTCTGCATACTATTCGAATGTGTCCGCTGAATAAGTACAGAAAAATACAAATAAGGATGTTTTTGAGTAAATAGCACACGTATAATTCCAATCAGTTATTTAGATTTAAGTCTTGCGTTTTCCTGCCTACCGGTCCCTTGACTAAACCATTTTAAAATATACATTTTTCTTAACCACCTCACTTTGAGTATAGCTTCATAATAATTTGTTTTAGGCAAGTGCTGGATTGGTAATATTCTTCAGCTTTTGAAAATATAAATCTAAGCAGTCCACAATAATATATTAATATTCTCTGGTACTAATGTAACAAAAATTATTTTTCAATTTCATATTTTGGTCTTAAATAATAAAGTAACAAATACAGTTCCAAACCATTATAATTTGCGAATTTGTGTATGACTTATAACTATTCAGAGTTAAATACAGCAATGCAAAGCATAATGCCATGACAAATTAATACGATTATTTCCAATAGAGTAAATAATATCTTTTTTAATGAAAGTCATACTAGTACATAAAAACTGCTAACTCGTGATTAAAAAATAACTAGCAAGCCACCTAGTTTAAAATAAATATTTAAGCAAAAGTAGTACAAAGAATTCAAGCAATTTTAATAATAGTTGAAAGCATTACTCGAGTTGAAGGAACCGTATAAGAATATTTGTACTTAACTGCAAATGTTAATTATTGTTGATATGCTTCACCATAAGGCTTATACTCCATTATAAAACATAAAATCAGCAAACAGCAGCACAGTTGTACACACTTTGTTTAGGTACTTTACAAGAATTTTGTTGTAATATATAATTGTATTGATACTCGTATAATTAATTATCATTTGTCTATAATATAATATTAACCTTTCAATTTTTTTTTTGTACTACTGGGTTTGTGAAGACCTGATTGGCCCCATTACTCGATAAAAAAAAATTAAATAACGAAAACAATTGAACAGACGTACGAACAGTCTCGTATACGCCTTGTGTATATTATAATATATTTTTCTTTACACCATTACGCAGTTTATTATATTTTGTGTGTGTCTGTCTATAATGTCGCTTTCGCGTATGTGCACGTTAATAAAGACCGAGGTCGAAAGCAGCTGCAGTCGTCGTCGTCGTTTGAATTTGTCTATATTGTAGCCATACACTAACACTATAATATTGCACTAGACAAATAATACAATAATAATAATATTACATTATGTTATGCGCGCACACCTATAGAACTTGGCGACGAAATATATTTTTGCAAATTTTACTAAGAGTATAAGCTATACTTGTTATTATAATATAATGTACCTAATATCTATTATATTTTTTATGAACAAACATAATATTATATACGAATGCGTATGCATTATTACATACCGTGGTATCCGTGAGTAATATTATTTATTACATACCATGGAATAGTGTATTATTACATACCTCGGTATATTCTGTATTATTATTACATTGTTGGAGTTGTTTCAACATTTCATGTACTTATAATTTGTTACTCATCAAATCTCGTTGAAATTAGATTTTTATATTCATCAAAGTATCCAAAAAATATTTTGTGAAAAAAAAGCTGAAAACAATTTCCCTGTTGCTTTGTTTGTTAACATCCGTGTTGCCATTTGTAATATTCAACAACTGCAAATTTAATTATTACCCACCCATTAAATATATTGGACTTTTCAAGATTTTTCCGGATTAGTCATTTAAATTTACTTAAAAAAAATATATTTAAAGAATATTTTATATTATATTCAGATAGGTACCTATAATTATATTTTAATATTGAATTTTTAAAAATAAATTCCAATGAGTAAATTATAATATGAATATTACTATTCGTGGCCAAAACTTTTCTGTGATGTGAGTATGTGATACTAATTCGATCGTGACAATCAATGGTGGATCTAAGAAAAAATGACAAGTCTACAAATATTTCAAAGGGCCCAGTTAAATAACTACTCAGATTTTCGTTTCTTAATAGATAATATTTATTGAGTTCAATTAAATTAATTATAATAATAATAAATAATAATAAATTTATATTAAGTTTTATAAAAATTAACTATCACTTAACTAGGTAGGTAAATGTCTAAAAAGCAGAATAGTAATTATACTAACTAAATATATTTTTTATTTTAAACCAAATATTTATATTGAAAGAGGACATTAGATAACAATATGCAAAAATGAGTACAAAAAAGGAATGAATCCTATTATACTCGTACTTGTTGGCGAAGCTTCTCGATTTCTGTTTTTGTTGTAAATTATCTGCTATTTGTAATATTTTCAACTGTAGATGATTTATACATTACAAATAAATAAATGATCAAATAAATTCCATATAGTTTATAAAATATAAATAGATGTGAACACGCGTTTAAGATGCAGTCGACATAATATACACGTGACAGACAACATTTCTTGAATTATATTAGCTTGAATCAATTTCCGTTATGATTTTGAGTTATAGTTATAAAAAAATTATGAAGGGCTGAGTCCAGACGAGGACGAGGGCTCATAGTCCGCAAATGAACATATATTTACTCCGTTAAATCCACCACCAGAGGTGATAATATTGGTATGAATGAAAAAAGATCTGGTTTTTAGATACCTACTGTGTCTTACGATTTGACATTCAAATTCACGTTTAATTAATAAAATAATAAAAGAACAAAATAATAAGTTCAACACTGTCTGCTTTATTCAATCGAAATACCAAATCCCTTACTTCGCTGTAAGTCGTACATCCGATTTTAAATATTTTAAGTTTATGTATAGGTAAACTAAGTTATTTAGAAAACAATAAAAAAATTAACACTAGACAGAAAAATGGTGACATACAATTTTTTGAGAAATTATTTTCATTTTCAGTGAACTACTTTAAGTCTATACAACCCAGCTGGTCTTTTTTGAATAGAAAACATAGTTTTTGATCATCGGCAACTTTCGTTAACACTAATATATCATTAAATTACGTTTTTTATATTGGGTTTCTATATTTGTAAAACTAATTTTAAGTAAAGCTTTACAACCTAAATATTTTAGGTAATACAATTATTCACATACAGAATATCACAAACAAAAAAATATCGAACTCTAATAAAACTCCATATTGGGGTATTATTTAATACCTAATTAAGATCTTGAATTTAAGGCCTCGGAATGATCCCTATACCTATGTTCCCACGCTTCTGTCGACAATTGCTGCTTCTGAATTATTTTCCAAAAATCTCGAAACATTACTTATACTCATTTCCGGAAATGTGAAAACTATAAATGTATTATAATATTTTTGTGTGTTGGATACTTGGATAAATCGATTGCCCGCTGCAGAGTATTGTCTTGTCACCACCGTCCACCAACAATATTATAATCATTAATCCGTTCACCGATCGACGATTTTAGATTTTGTTATAATAATATGTTTTTTTTTATAATAATAATGTTGATACAATATTGAGTGGCTCGTATTCATACTCGGTTTTTATTTATTTGTTTTTAAGGGATTACAGTGATTCCGGTGAAGAGCTATCGGACGACGACATTGAAATCGATTACGAGGACGACGAGGACGACGAAGAAGTGGTAGAAGTGAAACCTCTGCCGCCCGTCGCTCGAAGCGTTTATAAAAAGAACGACTGAACCACCGCCGTGTTTTGTTTAGTTGTCTCGACAGCCATTGTATAAAAATAGTTAAAATACATACTTTATTCTTTTTATAACTGTAAATTAAAAAAAAAATCTTACCCATTAAATAAAAATAATAATAATAATAATAATAGTAATAATACTTAATCATCATAATGGAAGTTCAAACGGTCGAAAAGAAACCCAATACCGGAAAACAAACAGTGACGGCGACTGAGGAGACGTCTTCAGTGGCTGAACGTACCAAAGAGGTAAATTATTATAGATAGTAAGGTGCGCCATACAATTATTCTTAATATTACATTATTATTTAGTGCTGTAGCGGTGATGACCGCCACCCGCTTTTAAAGGGGTGCTGTATAGGCAATTTTAATGCAAAAAAATGTTAACCGTTACATTACTTAAAATATTATTTTGAGCTCGGGACTGTAGGTACCCAAACCAAAATGAATAACCAACATTAAAGCTGAAGTTTTTCATCTAGGTAATTTCAGTATTGACCAAAACGTTAATACTGTACTCTAAGTACACGCATGCTGCGGTGCTGAATATTCGTAAAAAAATTTTCAAAAATGTTAATTTTTAATATTTAAAGGGCTTCCGATACTTGTTTCTAGTATTTCTATGAATATTTTATATATTTTTGATGATGATATTATTATTATTACTGCCATCAATTATAGTGGACATAAGAATAGTGGACACAATAATGACATAAGAAAAAAGTATTGTATTGGTTCCAAAATAAAAAAATGTACTTGATGAAAACATTTTTTTTATAACAATAGTTTAAAGGTGCACTTAGTTTTCCTTTTCACAAATTCTAATGACAAATATTCGAGAACACAAGAAACTCAAAAGACTAGCGACTCTTATTAAATAAATCTATAGAGATAATATTATATTCACTTTAAATAATATATGATAATGGGTTCCTATAATATAATATTATGAAAATAATACAACGCGTTGTGTAATAAAACATAATATTATCTTCTTTTCTTTTTTTGTTTATCGTTATTTAAAAATACAATTTTCGATTGCTTTTGTTATTTTGGCCCGTTCGCGCGAATAAATTACAGCTGATAATTTCAGATAACCGGGCGAACTCAATTTTTATTATTATAATAACATCCAAAAGTTTATTTACGACGAAAATGCATATTATTTTGATTTGTTTTGTGTACGTTAACTTATCGTCCCGCTCCTAAGTTTTACGAGACACCAGTACACATAATGTACACCAGAGTAAACACGTTGCCTGTAATCGTTCCTTAAAAATATAGTCTCTGGATATTTTATTACAAAACGAAAAACACAAAAGGAATTCACAAATGTTGTTCAAATGAGTCTTGAAATAATAAATTGTCTTATGCACTCGTGGTTCATGCCATCAATTCATTACCATTATTTAAATTTGAAATCGAACTGCCCCGAGAGGATGGACATTAATCGTTAGAACCGGTGGCAATAATTATCGATGTTCAATCGAAAAAATAAAATATATGTTACCCTAGTTTCGTACATCGAGGTGCAGAACACCTAGGTCCACTCCTACTTATAATAATTTATTATGGTCACATCATGGTTTTAGTGTCAATTTTAATATTGTTGCGATATTGTTCAAGTGATGCGTGACTTTTGATCAACCTACTTTAAAATCTAATAAGTACAAATAAACCGATAATAGATATACAAAAAACCGACTTATATATTATACTGCCATCACCATCGCCACCACCACCACCACCACCATAAACATCACTGGCACCATTCCCGATGTATGATATGGGTCACACGTGAATGTGGGGTGTGAATGGATTTATTTGTTTTGTACCATTGCATTGGAATTTGGAACTGCATTATTATTAATATATATCTCTGTTTCTTATTTCATTTTTGTCCAAGTTATACCCTCGTTTGGCTTCATCGACATTAAATTATCTTTTTTTCTCCATCCATTATTGTATCGTAAGTCTTATTTGATTATTAATAATTATTTATATTTATTCAATACAATATGTCCTAGATTGATACTTAAATCCGCAGCTCTTCTGGTCGGTGACCCTACCCAAAGTGACAGACGACCACATGACCTTCGACCTCGAATCGCTCCTGTTGGAAAATCGTCGAACGGTCACCACGTGTTCGTTAATAGTGTGTTGAGATCAATTGAAAACCTTAAAAAGGGATTTGAAATAATGCATGAGTGCATGACGTTAATAATAATAATAATACATGGGCCAGACATAATAGGCTATTTTTCGAGTGCTTTCAGGTGGAAAAATAATAAAATACCGATAGATACAATGTCATGTACTTATAGATATAAATAGAATTCCAGCGTTTTGATGTGCTCCGAGGAGGTATATTGGGGTTGGGAGTGCAATGGAAAAAAATGGAAAATCACCTATGGTGGCACTTTATACCCTTTTCGAATGCATTAAAAAGGAAAACCCTTCCGCCCGCGAAATAATACTATAAAGGGACGATTCTATCATCCACCGCCAGCTTTGCTCCAGGGTGGCATTTTCGGTTTATCCTGGAACTGTGGTCTGTGGTACAGAAGTGTCGAATAAAACGTCATCGTGGATATCACTAAACCCAAATCCCCTGTATGTAATCGTACTTATATACCTAGGTATATAAATGTATAGTGTTAAATATCGTGGGAAAATAAGCATTCGTTTAATCTGATCGCCACTGTGGATGTCATCAGTGGTATAAATAACCCTGTATGCATCCCTACATTTAATGGCTTTAAAGTAGATCAAACGAAAAAATACAGGATAATTCACCTCAAGCACGTTCACCCTAGTTTTCCTCTATTTTTATAAGTATCAAACTTTTTTTTATAGCCAATTGTTGTGCAGAAGACTTTTTTTGAAAATTTCGATGTATTAAATTAAAATTTGAACTAGTAGTTTTTAAGTTACCTATTGAAATGTGTATACATTAAACTAGGGATAATAACACTTATATAAAACAAATTGGGAAATTGGGTTTAGTATTTATTTTGCATAGAAAAAGTTTACTAATTGTAAAATATTCATAGCTTAGCATTAATTACAATCATTTTCAAACCAGCATACAGCCCCTATCATATTATCTTCCAAACTTTTTATCATAGACCTATAATAATAACAAACGTCAACAGAAAAAGTTCAATAACCTTAAAACATCTCGGCCAAAATCGAATTTAGATGCATTAAAGTTTTAAAAACATAAACTGAAAACAGCAAAAATGGGCTGATATTTTTCATTCGAAGAAAAAGAAGTTGGTACCTATACAAAACAATACCATAACAAGTTATGAAATATGGTACTCATAATTATTTGAATATATTATGATCATTAAATAAACTTAATAATTTCGAAAATTAAAGTAGAATATGGAATTGGGCATGTAGTGAAGTATTCTGTAGGTACATTATTGTTGTTTTCTATTTGCGCACTGTATGTATACTAGATACCTGTATGTTCTATATATTTTAATGTATTTAATTGTATTGCCAATAGTTTATAATAGATGCGCAAATGCACAATATAATATTATACCATGATGCGGGTAATATATTATTATAATCTCGTGTTTCCCGAACCATAAAATACATGTCCGATAAGCATTGCATGTGGTGTAACTTCGACGTTTTATCTGTCCGGGAGAGACATTTTTTGTGGCAGTCATACAATTAAGTTTACAAAAAAAATATATTCAATACAAAACAACCTCTAAGACTCCCCCCCCCCCAAAAAAAAAAAAAAAATATTGATATAATATATATAAGTACTTAAATTACCTACAATGCTACAGCAGTGGACATATATTTATATATTTTGTACATAATATCCGTAACATTTTTATGGATACCGCAATAGTAAGTCAAATAAATACATCGATTGTAAAACTTCATCTGAAAAGTCTCATGTCAAAAGTGCTGTGAATAATAAATTAATACTACTTGTACAGCAATACGTACTACAAAAAATGCATTTTTTGTTTAATTCGCCAAAAATGAATACAATTTATAGGAATTGGAAGTATAACTTAAACTTGCTTTTGTAACTCATTAAGTTTCAGTTTATGTCAACTGACCGGATATTAAGTTCAAACAAATAACACTACGCACGTTAGCTTATAAAAAATTATAACCCATAAAACTATCATAACCATATTACCTATATACCACGACTACAATATTATGTATTGAGCGATTCATCATGCATACTCATCATTGTATCCCGTAATAATCGATTTATTTATGTTATGTATGTTTTCACCAAAGACGACGCCATATAATGTAACGAAAAAGAATCGATTTATGTAAACTCTGAGTTTTGGAATTTGTAAATGTACTCACTTAAGGTTAAGGCAATATCATACAACGCAACATCAAATTTCTAATGCTTTATAAGGATTGTACAAATATTTTTTTTTGAATGAGAATCGTCCATTATAAATTGTTTAAGTAAATTACATAAGATACATTTGAAAATGTTGATGAGACAAAAATTCTATGGAGTGGGTAATTTCAAAATTAATATCATTAAATATTTAATATTTTTGTTTACTTAATGATCTATAAAAATAATAGTCTACGATAATATGTTTAGATATTTCGGGGCCATTATCTATGATAATATTTTGAAAACTTTAATAAATAATATTTTGCTTCGTTATTTTAAACTGGTGATATGTGAATTTCCACATGACTAAATGGATCTATTTAGTCACGAATCTCTCGCTACATCATAGTTTTGTGTGTTTCAAAGACATAAATATTTTTCGAGTTTTATGTTGTTTTATATTTACTTCATGAAATTTGCTGGTGGCTCTGTGTCATATTGTATGATTGACATACCGTATTAATATTTAAGTTGAAAAATCAATCGAAAATATAATGGGCGATGATAGTGTACCTTGGATATTATATTATTATATGCCTGCAGTAGGTATAGGTATACATACATAAAACATAAACGCATACTTATAATAACTTTATAAGTTTTCGAAAAATATCCCTCTCTCTCTTTATAAAATATTTCTTTCCCTTTAACATATTATAACTAGTTTTAATGGTCGACGGAACCGAATGATTCACTTTTGAAATATTTACTTAAATTAGAAAAAAATATTTGATATTACAACAGTTGAAACTTGATGTATGTCGAGTAAATATAATCAAAAAATACTGTTAATTGTAATAATTATGGAGTTTTCAAAAATATTGATATTTTTTTGTTTCAAAATCGTTTATTTTCGTTTATGCACATCGTAGGTCACTAAAGACACGGCTAACTCGCATCTGGAACAGAAGGCCAAGAGCGTGCAGTCGGAGGAGTCGACCAAGTCTGTGTCGGAGTCGGTGGAGAAGCTGGCCAACGGTGGCGTGAAAAAGAAGACGGTAATGTCCTCGTCGCAACAGTTCTCGTCCGAGGAATCATTTGAAGAGAGCTGGTCGTCTTCCGGGCCAGTCATCACCACCACCGTGCCCAAGCAAATCGAACAATAACGACAACAATAATATTATATTTTATTATCACCTGCGTACTTCAACAATATTTCACGACAATGATGGATACCACGTGCGACGATGTAATATTGTATTATATTGCATAATAATATTATAATACGGTAATGATAAATAGATCGCGATGATAAAAGTGACGATCAATAATGTTATACTTAACATTGTTATATATATTGTACTATAATATAATACTACATACGTACGCGTGGCGCACTGTTTGTCATTATATCGCTAACTATCTATATTATACAAAATATACACAATAATATAATATTATAATGTTGATGTAATAACATGTAATATTTTTTTTCGATTGTTTTTAACGCACACAATAATTTTAACCGGACATTATACAATGTATTATAATATTATACTAGTGCCATTTAATATAAGTACAGATATTTATTTGATTTTTGTATATTATATATATGATTTGATCGATTCCAGTCGCTCTCAATTCAAACCAGATCGATTCACTGCAAATCTTAGTAGGTATATTCATTTGTCATACAGGTCGACTGAGGTTTAACTAAATTGTTACGCCTCAGTTTTCTGTCATTACTGTGGCAAGGATTTTTTTTTAAATAGCAAACCGCAATTATTTATATTTAATCAAAAAAGAACCGTTTGATTAACATATGTAGTACCTATGTATAATATTATATGTAAACATCTTATGTTGAAACAACAGTAGTGCTCGTTGTGGCTATCTAATCATATTTTAAAGCTTAGATGCAGGCAGTTAGGGATATCTATGCCATTTTTGATGCACCAGCACTATGGTCTACGACAATAACAATCAACTGTCCTATTATTTTACGTTTTTACATCAAAATGTTTGTATAAAATAAGTAAGTTAGAAAAACTCACTCTGCGACCTTGCTAATTTCCGGTTTCTAAACTTTTTAAATGCAACTCAATAAACAGTAATGCCAGGTTCAATTCAAAAATAATATATTATATCAACAATCGTAACTAAATAACTAAATACTATTAACTAACCGACGGACAGCCACACCGGAGATATAAGGTGTTCTAAACTTATGCTTAGTCGCTTAGAAACCTAAAACAACGTTTTGTGAATGAACAAAACTAAAGCCATTACAAACATTGTTGACGAATAGATTGTTTTGTAAAAGATAATATTGTGCGTGCTTTAAAGTACCTAAATTTTATTCTTTTCAAAATCGTGTAAATTTAACGATCTGGTGCAGGTTAAAATGTCACAATCGCCCTGTTATAAATTTATAATATTATACATATATTTGGTAAGTAGTAGTACATTTTTATAGTTTTATTATTACATTTTAGCCTCAGTCGTCGTCGCGGCGCTTTAAATTCCTGGTCGTCCACAGCACATGTATAATATATGCATAACGGGTAACTGTACATACCACACACATTACGATAATATTTAGGTATCATAATATAATATTATTATGAAGGTTGGCACCCATTTTGTGTGTCAATAGTGCATGCCGAATAAAAATATAGGTTTGTAGGTAGGTACCACGTGTAGACGAGCGTCGAATAGTTAATAACAATAAACAACAAAGTGTATATACAGTGTGTCAGTGTATAATAATTAATAGTGTATATTATATATTATTGTAACGACAGACAAAATATTATAACTGTAACCACATGTATTGTCTCCACTCTCGTAAGACATTCCGATTTCTAAGTTCAAATATCAGCTCTGGTCTTCAAGGAGTTATAGATACCTATAATTATATCGAAGTATTTAAAAAAAAATCAAATCTAAGAGTGTCTATTGGTACCGGTTCTGCCATATATATCATATAGGTATTATTCATATGATATTCCCTTTTAGCCGAAACACGCAAACAATAATTAATTTAAGTTTCTAGAAAGTTTATCCTTAGAATACATGCGTAGATATTTGCTGCAAGTCGTAACTGCAACGTTTTGCAAGAACGTGTACAATATTATGGTATTGAGTTTCCGAAGCTCCCAGAGCGTGGTGTTTGATGACAGTATTGAATTTGTCTAGATAAAATCTACTTTTAACTAATAGATGAAAATATGGAAATAATTAATGCAGTTTAGTTTTTTTTAGCGATTTTTGTAAATTATTTTTTCCAAAATGTGCGTTTCCACATACTCAATTTGGAAATTCTGGCCATAAAAATCCAAAACTTCAAAAACCTGTTTTTAAGAAACAAAAAATACATAGGTATATCGTTGTTCGTATGATATCGTAGTGTTTTTGTTTTTTCGATGTATCTCAATATTTTGTTGATAACATATCTTGGTCAAAAAGTTTGAGAATTCCACACGAGTTGTCTTCTGATTCAGAAGTTCTGAAACTTTTACACCTGTTACAAAAAGCAAAAGTATACCTGATACAATATAGACACAATAATTTACACAAACCGCATAAATGAATTTCACTACAGCGCGTTGATGCGTGTTTTTAAATAATAGTAATATAATACCTATCAAATAAAAACCTATTAAATAACAAAACAAAAACATTTATTCGTGTATTTTTACACAGGATTATGACAGTATAGCCTTATTGTTTACAAGTGTAATTTGTTTACTTATACTCGTCCTCAAAAACATCCCCTTTAGCTCGGGGTGTAGAACAGCTCAACATTAATGTCCAACTCCCCCTTCGATTCTACCTATTGATGGCAGGTAATTGCCAGGTATGCTCGGCTAAGCGTGGACATCCAAAGTCAGCATGGTACACGAAGCAGTACGTTCTGAAAACCTGTCCTAACAGGTGGAACACAACATGCATTCATCCGGTCACTCAAGAGTGGAAAGATCTCTGGACGAACGCTCATATTGGAGGACGTAAAATGACATGGAATGGATTGTCCGACGGACACAACACGCGTCCAGCAGGATAACAATGTGTAGAGCGAACGGGTACAGAGGCAGGGGAGTGTTTTAAAATCGGTGAACTTTCAATTACACACTATGTCAATATCACCGCAACAAAATGTTCGCCTGATGAACCTTTTCGGCTGGCTCCACAGTTAGCTGCGTATAGGAATGACTGGGGTTACCGTCTTGTCTATTACCGCATCTTCGAGTTCAGCCCGGCTCACCATGTCCTGGAAACTTTCTATTTCGAGGTTTGGCTGTTTGGTCGATAAGTTTTTAGACTTAACGTCACTAAGCTGTGCTCCCATGTTGCAGACAGACCACTTTTTGGAGTGTGTCGTCTTTGAACGGCAGAATTAGTACCAAGGTGATTAGACGGATGATAGAAACTCGATTTTGCTTACTCCTGCGATGGCAGGTGTCATTTCTGAATGTTGTAATATTCGGCCAACGTTTTCCATGGATGTGACGGCAACCCTATCTCAAGAGCACCGTCTGCGTAATTCGTCTGGATTGCCCATATAAGGCATCGATTTACATCGTCTGTGCAGTGGAAAATTTGAGAGATCACGGTTGTCCAACGTTTGAATCTGTTTTTTTATCCAGATAAAAAGGAGGTTATATTTTCTTTTATCTATATTTTTATTTAATATCTACTATTTTATTTAGATAAATGTTAAGTTATCTGTGCCCAACACTGCTTAATTCGTATATCATCATCTAGATAAACAAAGAAATTCATCTAAAATGAAATATTCCTAATCTAAATTAAATAATTTAAGTTTTTTTAAAAATTATCTTCAGTTTTGATTACCTAATTCATTTGACTAATTTTTCATTTTGAAATAAAAAATATCATCAAATACGATGTGCCTACTACAATATTTTCAAAACTCTACCAGCAGCTTCAGACCGATAGACCACCTAATTAAACTGTTTTAAATTTATTTTTTTGTTAAATTGATATATATTATGCAATTTGTTTAATTTTAGAATTTTAATAGATTTTTAAAGCTAATAATAAAAAATATTTTTCATTTTTAAATAAATATAGGGAGTTATGATATTTATAGTATATTACCTACCTGCTTGAGGAGGAGACTACAACAGAGCGTTGGAGCTTAAAGTTTAATCCTAAAAGTAATAAAACAAGATATAATATTGTAGAAGAACGTTTTTCATACGTTAAGAAAAAAATGTACACTTCTCATTTAATTTTACTCTATTGATTTTGCATGATATGTTTTGAAATCGAAAATCTTAAGAGTCGATGCCGAAATTTAAAGATATAAATTTTAAAGTTCCTATATAAGCAAATATTACAAACTCAATTACAGATAGATTATAATATTATACATATTACCACTATTCCTCCTCCATCTACTGCAGCGCAAATAACTATAGACAGGTGCGTATTTAGTGTATTAATGCCGTAGGTAAAGTTTTTACTTCTCCCCTGTTACCCCTCCCCGTTAACAAAAATTGCCATCGTCAGCTAATAATTGGATTCAAAAAGTTTGTGTGAACTAAGCATTTAGTGTATTTAAAGGGGAAAAAATCGGGAACTTGTGACCCCGCTCTGCTGTTTACCTACTCACAACATTAGATGTCTAGTGTACTTGGTTATTAAATACGACCCAGACGGGTCCACCAAGTATATTATACACCAATAAATTATGCGACTGCATGATAATTAATATTAGGTGCTCTCCCGAGATGATGGGGGGGGGGGGTGTATATTACTGCAGGTGTCACATCATATCGGTAGCTTCTGTAAATTACAATAATTAATGTCTGCAGTGGACTACATTATAATGGCGATTCAATGATTTATCTAAATACTAGTTTCCATCCCCTCCACCACGTGCACGTTTTACGTTCGCAATGACACGCTGTTATATACTGTTCATCCGCCGCAGCTGTCACTCGCGTATTCAATACTACGCTCACTGCTCTGGCGGTAACTTAGGTATTATGATATAATCGTTATTTGTCGTCAACGATATATCGTAATAATAATACCGTCGTCGGCGTAATTAATATTATACCTGTACATAAAATATATGTGTGCCAGTGCTAGTCGCCGGAGAAGAGTGGTACGTTTTTCCTCCAAAAGAACTAAACAATTCCGATCCGAACTCGACGGCAGTGAATTCTCGACGAAAAGTACAACATAACATATTATAGTACCTACCTATATTAAAATAACATTAATATGACTCAGACCAACAAGTCGGGCACGGTTGTGGTCTTCGAAATCGGCTTCTTCTGCGTGTTGTTCGCGTCCATCACCTCCGGTAAGTCACCAACCTGTATTTATTTATTTTATACGACATAATTTTTATACCAAAAAAATTACCAGGACTCACCGAGAGAAGTTCGTGTGGAGGTCCAGGGTTATCTATTGGTTTAAAAATATGATTCTGAATGATATTTATATAAATAACTATATATATTATATACATATAAATTAGAAATTACTATAATCTAGTATATATTATATTATGATATTTACACGTGTGAATCATATTATAACTTTAAGTCTTAAGTATATGGTGTTCTATAAACTCTACTATAGCCTATACGTCACATCATATTAAATAGCCCTAAAATGCCATTTTAACCATTTTAAATTTCAAATTTTGCCATCAAAACAAGTCGAATATATTTTTTATGTAACTTGATGTCTTTTCAAAATCACATTTCTGAAAAAACTACTTAAATGAACTACGTGTCTGATATTTGATTTTTATAAAATTAAATACTCCGACTAATATTCAGCTTTGGAATATGAAACCAAGAATATACGGTGTTATTTGAAAAATAAAAAACTTAAAAAAATAAAATGATAAAAAATACATTTTTTTCAGAAACGTTATCTTGAAATTGCATCGAACTACGTATGTCAAAAAAATATTTAAAAAAAATGAAACATCTCTAAATGATAAGTGTATACACTTAAATAGAAAACCTAACCTGGTATAATATAACTAAAATAATGATTTGCTTTATTATTGAAAATCGGTTTGATCTTATAAAGTCGAATGATTCTTATGAAGCGTAGCTGGTGTTTTAATAATTTGGCTACTATAATTTTCATTTAATTGAACTCCTATTATATTTATCACGAGGATCAACATCTGAAAATAATAAAATATTTGTCACAATATTTAACATAATATTATAATACTATAATTTGAGCCAAATTATCTCAGTATGATCCATTATTACTATATTGTTATCTAGTTTATTGCACAGTTTATTGAGACTAAACTAGTTTGTAAGTACAAATTATACTTAGTCTAATGCGAAATGTTAAATATTGCCGCACACCTGATCAGATAATTTACTAAAATTGAAATTTATTATCAATATACTTTATAATAATTTTATATTTCATTTTCTGAGTATTACTGCTGGGTGATTTTTCTCTTCATGTCTTTATGTCATTGTATATGTTATACACATATTATTATTGTAACACCATTACAGATTGTATATATTATTTAAATTCTAATCAATGCAAAAAAAAATATTTCATTTATTCATTTTAGTTGTGTAAACAAAATCCAAGACCAATGCCGATCAAAATACTTAAATTTTGAAGCTAAAGCACACTTTTTTAAATTTCAACCGTAAATAATTTATCGTTCTAACATAATACATTATAATTTAAGAGGATTGAGAGCGGTGCGTCTTATGTACTATATGACCTAATAGAAAATGTTTACATCGGTACTAAGAAAAATTACAAATGACATGGCTTATTGCTTGTGATTTATCTCACTGCAGGATTGTTGTTTAGTGTGTGAACATAATATTTCTATATAATGATAATTTTTTGGAATTTCAGTGTTTAGTACATTTGTATAATATAAACACAGTGTATTTTGGCTGGGAATTTTATAGTGATATTGTTATGAAACTTTTCCTCTCATACCGGACACCACTAATTTTTACGTTTTTTTATGGAATCCAGGAATAATTATGACATTTTAAAAATGATTGTGTGAAAAAAATACGCGTAAATCATTAATTATACATACTTTTTAAAACTCATCGTCCAAACGTCGACGGCTGGTTGTGAAAATATTTGTTTTTCATCACTGACTTTTTGGATTTTCATCCTCGTAGCAGCTGTTGCGGGATCGCATGCATACAATGCCTCCTAAATGTAATCAATAATTATTATTTTTCTGTTGTCCCGTTTTCTACAAAGCCTAGGTCAGTAAATGTATAGTACCTACATACCTACTCTTACTCAAGCGATTCCAGTAGGTAATATGTCTGGGTAGAACCCTCGTCATGGTGGATCAGTAAAATTAGAATGGCCAATAGTATTGTAGCCTGTAGGTTTTAAATTTCTAAAATAAATATTTAGAAATTATAATTTTAATTATTATTATATTGCTATAAAAAATGTTAAATATATGAGTTTAAGATCAATAATATTTCAAAAAGTTTTACGATATAGATGCGAAATCTTTCATTCTGATTGCCATACTATAACTATTATTAGTAGGTACTTACCTAACCTACCTGTTTCCTTTATAAAATAACTAAGTGAAAATTAATTATATGTTAGTCTGTACAGGTACTCTGTATACAAATGTCCTAACAATTATTATGTTCATAGTCTGCCTAAATTATTATGTATGTATAGTGTATATACATAACACTATTTTAATAGTATTAATTGCATTAGATAAATATTTTAAACATTTTCCCGATGAAAGCCATAATAATTTTTTATTCATTTTTACACTTATTAATTTTCAAACGTACTTACCATTTTTATTGGAAATTATTACCATGATCATTTTGATCATATAAGAACCTGTGAATAGTTTTCATAATATGTCGATACTAACTGTCTTTCTGGTCTTTATTGCATTTAAGAACTCCGAAAAATCCTCCATAGTTTTCGAATATTATATTGAAGGAAAACGTTAGAATACAGGACATAAAATACTATGAAAACAAGAGTGAAAAACTCTAGTTCAAACTGGGTTACATTTTGGAGGTAAATAATTGGTCTGTACACGACCTTATTTTAAATTACTTTTACTACCATAGGAATTAGAAGCACAATAATTATTTTCTTCAATTATATTGTTTACCTTTTTGTTCCAACCGTCGTTGGTATACTACGAAATTATTATGCTGATGTTATTATGATAACGAAAAATAACGTGTGTCAAGGGGACTAAACATTAAAACATACTTAAAATAATGATACATAATGACTTGAGAGTACAAGCTACCTACTCGTTTAATTTGTTTACCGTTAAGGTATAGCTAGGATGAAAATTGTTGTTATGATAATATATTATATACGCGATCAACAGCCATTCATTTAATTACATTATTAAAGAAAACGTGTTACATTTATAAAATTGTGTTTTAATATTTACCATTGTAACAAATTATTATAATAGGATATTTGTGTTTCACTAGAACATAAAAAAAAAAACAAAAAAAGCAAAACGAAACAAAAACACTCAGTACAAGCCAGTTCAAATGTTCAATAAATTAGGGCGTTAATATATTCATTAAGTTACAAACATAATAATATTATTATAGAGGTATTTATAACTAATTACACATATATATATATAATATCAACAAATAAAATACAATCCATTACAATACATTCCAATACAATCTGTTGTATTAAATAGCAGCATTAAAAATATAATCAGACAGTCCGATGTGAAACATTATTTGTACATACGGGTACTTAACCCACTTGGGTATTAAAAAAGGAGAAAGCTAATTTCATGATAAGTGCTATAAAATTCATGATAAACATTATTTCAGATGAAACGAATAGATTATATTTTATCCATTCCCGCGAAGCTATAAACAGACAAATTGAACAATTTTTCAAAAGAGATTTTGACGTTGAAAAAATGAAATCGCTTAAGTATGTTATATGCGCTTTGAGATAAAATACTGTACTATAATAATATGCCGTTCGGAAGCAAGCTCATCGCTTTCATTTAACTCATTGTCTCGTTTGCAGAAATACAGAATTTTAACTTTACTGCACAAGCTAACACCCAAAGGAAATAGTATATTAATTCGTTCCATCGTAAACTGCGACTTTATTCAGTTTGGCGAAAGTGCTTTGAACCAGAAAAGTTTTTCGAATGCCATTAAGTCATTACTATAAAACGCGTGTGATGTACTGACGTCGTGTGCATACGTATACATTGTATAATATGTTATTAGTTAAGTGTTGAACAAAAGAGATCTACATAATTTTCAGCACCTAACACCTAATTTTTGTCAGTTTGTTTTATTATATTTCAGTTTTATATTTTGACTTGCCAAACTCCGATCGATATATGGCCATATAGATATATTGCTAACCGCATCTACTGAATACTGAGTTAGAATTGCTCACATCCCCACTATAATGTTCTGTAGGTTTTTTTTATTATTTTTATATGTCATATTGTGCTATTTAAAGAGAAAAAAACTGAAAGGTTGACAAAAAGCTATGTTTCTCGAGAAAAAATTAATGATTGATAGCAGACAGCCGAAACAAAAACTAATGATGGTCGATGTATACTAGAAGGCTTATTTATTTTAAAATATTACAAAACCAATGTTCGAAGGTATAATATTTTTCAATACAATTCTTACAATACGTCTCGTAACTTACTAATCAACCGATAATTCAAAATAATATTTTTTTACATAAAAATCATCATAAAAGTATTCTGATTAAGAAAATTAATTTGGAAAATATTAAAAATCATAATGCCTAATAAAAAATGGTAAAATATAATATTTTTTTTTTCAAAATTGACGTTTTGTGCTGCTTCAGATTATGTAAATATACAATAATTTCAAAAAACATCAATATTTTTGGTGAAAATTATTACTGTTTATCTAAAAAGAACTATGCTAAATAATACCTCCTTATATATTTATACTAAATTCAAATTTATTTAAAGGCAATTTAGATACGTCATATTAGGCATGTACAATAATGTATTAAAATATAATATTAATAAACAATTCAAAAATCAACCCTTCAAAACTGATTGCTAATCTCGCCACTCTATTAAATTTGTTACGGACACCTCGTCAATGATGATAAATGATAATATATGATACTCGTCACCGATTAACGGTAAATCACATTAATAATAATAATATCGTACACTACACAGTAATCGTAAAATAATTTAGTAACAACGGACCATTGGCGGTATGAATAGTTTGTGAAAATATCACTCTAATATAATACAAGACTTACAACTGTACAATATCGTACCGAAACAATGAGAAGAACGCACGTACAGCAATACGTGTCCACAATACACGTAAACATATCAAATATAATATATTATCACTGCTAGGGTTCCGTTGGGAGATTTGAATTCCGATTACATTTTCCGCAAAAGATTATATCGAATTGAAAACATACGCAACATACGGACAAAACTAACACGCCGCCGTGCTTACATTTATTATTTGTTTATTATTATTACATTTTTCCGTCGATATAATATAACTGCTATATACTGTATTAAACACGAGTGCAACGAAACTGAAGTTTCCGAAGTGCCGTCGTTCACAAAAGAAAAGATGTATATCAGATCTGCCGAAAAGATACACAAAACTAAAACCATATTCGTGGAGAGAAAACTTTAAGGGACTTCAAAAGTCAATAATATTTTTGTATTTGCTACAACACTATGTATATGTCGATGCAAAATACGATATAAGCAGAATGTTATACTTATAGGTAGGAGGCACCCGTAGACCAGACGAATTGGAAATCGTCATGAACGCATCATTTTCAGTACGGTTGATGAAAACAAAAATATTAGAATACAAGAACTAGGATTTAGATGCCAATTTCAAACCATTTGTAAATAATTATGCTCATATTTACGCACATAAAATATTAAAAAAAAAATGCAAGAGAAGCAATCGTAAAACGTGCACATATTTTTAAAATTTAAATTAAAAAAATGATAATTTGATAATGTGAATAGTTATAAAATATAAATAAAAAAAATTTTGTGTATATTTAAAAAAAATGATAACATATAAGATATAACAATCATTAAAAACAAAATATTATTGATTATTTTTTAAGAACAAAAACTTCCCTACTTGCCATTTCATTTAATTATTTAAGAAACTGTCCTTAGTACTTGGTATAATTTGATTTTACATACACTTCTGTAATTTAATAATTATATTAAATTTTAAATGAGTTCTGACATATATCTACTGCTGTGAAATAGGTTTTCAAATGTACAAATTGAAAACGTGAGCGGTTGTCATGGAACGCAATGGCCTTGTATTTCGAAAAATAACTCCTAAATATATTTAACTATTTTATCCGAATGTTTACGATACATGCAACTTTTTTTGATGAAATCCTTACATTAGGCAACGTATGGGTTTTTTTATCCAAGTCCAACCTAAAACAAAATAAGTATTAACATATTATAAATTTGAGCTCCGAGAAGGTATTTGTCAGTTTGGCCACGTTTCTCGTTTTATGGGTTTTTTTTTTGTCTGTACGATGACGGCGGTTTGAAACTATGACTAGGTCTAATGGTTTCGCTTTTACCTAGAACACTGTAATAATAATTATAATAATATAACATAATATACCATGGTATGTGACATGCGGTTTCGACGCGGGGACAGAAATCTGCAGCAGCCGTTATTACTGTGTTTTCCAGTCCACTAAATATTGCGAATTGTTTCCATGTGCAAGCGTTTTAGTAATATTATGTACCTTTGTTCGGCTGATGACAATACGCAGACAACTGTTTTATTAGTCGTTTCATCATAATAATATGGTACAATATAATATTATGATTTAATTATCAAACGTACTTGTTTAATTGAACTATTTTGAGCTCGACGTCACTTAATTTAAAGGATTATTATATGAGTTACGTTTTCAAACATAATTATTTTTCGACGTTTGTCTTACGTACGTTACACGTAATCACAATACATATTAGGTACTACCCATGTTGGTAAATATCTACCATCTATTTCTCATCCTCATCCGTGCCCACGAATAAAACGAATCGTGTCTGTACCACGGACTGAGAGCAAGAATGAAATCTGAAAATATCCGGATTATCTGGATTTTGTTCAAGACCAACTCAGCATTTCCGGATTTAAAGAGGTTCGATTATTTATTCATAAGTTTCCCTTAATAGCATTGATTTATAAGATAGTTATCATTTTTGCGATTTGTTGAGTAGTTTTATTATGTTTTCTGAATAAATATATATTTATATTGACTTGTGATGATATTTCGATAACCTAATAAATAATAATTATATGTATTTCATAATGGGGATTATTCGAATTCCGGATATACGGATATTCCTAGACCTATATACTATCACACAAAATCTAAATCCATGTAATGGATATACGGAATTATAAAAATTTAGTATTATTATAGGAGCCTATATTTGATTGTATAGACTACGAACAATTAAAACTATTTTGTTTTGAATTGATTCTATATTTTTTTTTTATAAATAGGTTAGATCAAAATTAAAAAAATATAATTGAAAATGTTATGTTAGTCTACGTTATATACCTAACCTTATACTCATGACAAAATATATAATATTTTTCAAAAACCATTCCTAGGCTCGTTGGTCGGCAGAGGAAGAGGACTGATTCAGAATGCACTAAACATGGGCGTTAGACACGATAATAACACCGGCCGCAGCGACTGCGTGTACAAACGAGATGCAGACGACACGTGTCCCGGAGAGGATATACTTTTTCATTATTACACTCTCAGGTATGCGAAAGTGAAATTAAACATAATAATAATAATAGCTAGGTACTATATTGACAATAATTATATTATACTACGACACTATTATAATAGTCCACGCTTGTGCGTTTCGTGTGACTATACGATATTAGCTAGCGTTTATACAATCATAAATAATAATAATAATGCACATAACATATTATGATCATGCCGGCCGCGGCGTGTTTATAACTGACGGAAATAATACTGAAACACCCGTTCGCAATTATAATTATTGTTCGAGTATAATAATAATATATCATCACTGCTTCGTACAAGACGATAGTTTCACGATTACAACCGTATCCGTATTACGAAACGATCATCAACAATTTATTTATTTATTAATTATCATTATTGTTTTTAAAGCCCCAGCAATATTATTCAACGACATTGGCTTGTTGCGAATCACGTCATATCGGGGTTACCATATTTAATCATTAGTTTGTTTATAATTTAATAATATAGTACGGCTGTACTCAATTAAGTTTTTGATTTAAAGAGTTACATTTTTTTTCATTATCTGGTGTTGTCCGGATCAACCGACACTTAAATAATGCTTCGTGTGGTTTGTTTGGGGTGTCCGTTTTTATACACGGCAATACACTAGGATATTATACTTGACCCACGAGGGAAAGATACGTCTTCTGAATCTAAGCCTATCAATAGTATTCGAAATGACCGGTAAATTTGATTGAAATAATTGTTCGGTATGTACTATAATAGCTGTTATACTGCTATAAATTATTATGAAAAAAAATCCCGACGGAAAAAGTACACCGAATGAATAACAATGTACAGCGATCCAATGCAGTGTCCTGGAACGAAGCCAGAGAAGTCGTTTTATTGCGATTTGCGCTTGTTGTTTAAATTTCCTAGACGCGCGCAGTTCGTGTTTTAAGTGCTGCACAAAAGCGGTGGCGTGTAACCTAATTATTATTGTGTATAAGAGCATAAGACGTAGTATTTTTCGATTTTGGCATTGAGACAGTTTTCGTGTTCGGAAATCGAATAATAGGTACCTATTATTATGCACGACACGTACATTCGTTTACGAGAATAACCTGACATCGATAAAAGTGGACGACTGAGCACCAAACACCCGATAGAAAATGTCATGACCGTCCCGGTTTTTGGATCCACTAAGATGACGACGATCGAACTCGTTTTTATTTGCGACCGCGGAGACGAGACATTCACCTCGGTCGGACGGAGATGGTAGTCGAGGTAGTCGTGAAGATCTAAAAGAAGCCGAAATGCGAATTCTCTAGAAAACTGGTAGAGCTCCAACAATGTGGCGGGGTTAAACTCGTGTGTCCGACTGCGTATATATACATGTTATGTGTTATTAGCACTCAGCTATACGTTTTTTTGTAACTTGGTGTTGTTCACCGATTCATAATTATTTTTAACTATATTATAACGAGCACTTTATGTTTCTGATGTACGGAGCTATTGTTATGAATATTTTAACATTTAATGAGAAATGTTACTTAAGTCAGACAATAACATCGAAAATGAAAATTACATCATTGGCCGTGCTAACAAAATAAATGATAATTTTAAGTAAAAAAATATTGAAATTGTATAAATAATTTAATAAAATTAAAAATCAAGAAGGTAGTCAATTAGTTTTTGAATTAATTAAACATTTTCTGAAAAAAATTGATGAAAAATATGAAATATGTATAGAATTAGTTGAAAATTAAAGTTTTTTCAAGTGAACTTTTTTTATTTAAGCTAACGAAGGGTGAGTGACGATGAGGACCTGATAATTATTAGAGTTTTCAATTCCTAGTCATTCCCGAGTAATTCATTATAATATATCGTATCAGAAGACTTATCCATATCATCAAAACGCGGCCAGCACTATACAATATTATTATCGTATATTGTTCAATGTATGGATAAAATAAAAGTTTTAATGTTGGTTAGGGTATATATTGATTCCAATGAATATTTAAATTTAAATCTTGTAATATTAAACTAATAATTGTAATTATATAAAATAACATACCTATAAAACTTTAGTAAGTAAAACATTATTACTGCCACTTTTATACATTTAAAGTTCAGCGGAATCGATGTATACCATATTTTAAAACAGGATGTTTCGACGCGGAATCAATAAATTTCCGTTGGATGTGTTTTTGTTGTGCAAACTTAGAATGAAAATTGTACTCGTAGTGAAAACGGTTTAATGTGGTCAAGCTACTATCGTTCGACCGGCAGTATTGAATTGAAAACAAATCATGCGGAAACATGCGTATGCACTATTTACTTATATTATATTCTATACAATAGAGAACGTTACTATTTAATACTGTAACCCGTAATACGGTTAAAAATTAAGGATATTAGTATCTTTGAAGCTGAAAAAAACAGATTAATATTTGCGTCAAAAATGTATCGTATAGTAATTATCCTAATGATTAGGTAATTATTCTGCAACTGCAGGTAACTGCAGCGGCTATTTTATATTCTATGGGCTGGTAAATATTATTGATGGCTGCCATATGAATACAAATCTATCTCGAATTATAGTTGGTAAGCCCTGTTTATTTTATGTAGTTAAAATTGTTTAAATCATAATCTTTAGTATGGGTTTCTCGCAGCTTGCAAACTGATGTATAGAAAGTAGAAACTAATATAATTATGGTGTACGTCATATTAATGGTCAAAACTAATCGATAAAAAGTGTTACAATAATTTATTTTACGAGTTGTGTAATATTGACAGCATATTGGTCAAATACTTTGGTTATTGGTACATTTAGTTATGTTGCCAGGCAGGCAAGACTTTGAATTTTTGATTGGACGGAAAAAATATTAATAATAGATTTTAAAAAGTGTAAATTAAAAAAAAATGTATTTCAGCCATAGTACCCAATATGTATAGTTCAATATATAGTTTTCATAAGAATATTCAGCTACTGTTAAAATATCACAAGTCAAGTCTTTTTAAAGATTTTTAAAATGAACACAGTTATAATTAAAAATTATAAGCTACCGTCGTATTTTAATCGTATCTTATATTACGTTGAATCACATGGAATTGGACGAGGTCTGTACGAGCCGATATGCGATAGCTATTACAACACAAGTCGACTGACAATATTATTATATTATTCCATGGTAAACATTACGTACACGGTCAAACCTATAGCCACCGATCCTATACCCATGTCTTCAACTACGTTAACCACGAGGATTTGGACGAGGATTGCACTAGACGTGCGAACATTCTGCAGTAGGTCGACTGACAAGATTATACTTTTCCATGCCAAAAATTATGTGGATGGCTCCCGAAACGGAAACCAAAGCGCCAACCGACATGATTGTTCCAATAATGGAGTTGAAAGTTTGGCGGACCGAACTCAATGTGCGGCGGTTTCGGAAGTTTTTGTGGACTTGCAGCAGGATACGGAAGCTGAAATAACGGACTCGGTGATAATCTCGAAAACGGTCAAACATATTATATAGACGCCAATCAATTTGATCCCGTACTAAAAAAATCTTTAGGCGTATGTTGTTGTATGATTAGTGCCGAGAAATTGCTGTTGTGAATGCTAATAAATAGTTTATTTACCGTATATGTACATTGTACTATCTACAACGACCAATTTTGAAATTGTTTTGATGCTCTGTCGACGATGTAAAAATGTTTGAGAATGTTGTACTGAATGTCAAATAAGTGCGATAAAATGTTAAATTGATAATTTGAATCACATGGGTACAATGCACATCGTATATACGTACTCATTATTTATATTTAAAGGATTAGTTTTTATATATTAGATGTAGAATTTTATGTACCAATTTCATAAATTATTATTTTTTCTTTCTTTATTGGTTAAGAATCAACTACCCAGGTTATTAGTCTTACAACATATATTATTATATTATATATAATAATTTGTGCTTTTGATATATAATTCCGTATGTCAAAATATTTCAAATAATTATATAAATTGCCACAATGATATACAACGTTAAATTAAATAAATCGTACTTACTTTCCAACTCATTATATGTGTATCTTATATATTATAAATTATGTATTATATATATATATGTTCGAATATAGGTAAGGTTAATTTAACTTAACTTTTAATAATATTGTGTTGATTTATATAATAATTTCAAATATTTTTACATACAGGAATAGATACATTTAAAATGAGGATAAATGTAATAGGTACGCGTCGTATGAAAAACTATACCTCTAGTATAAATACTAATCTTGAATTTACCTCAAATAAGCACCAACTAGATTCACTTTTCCACCAGGAAAGATAATGAATAAGTTGAAAATTGAAGCATTTATTTATACTAGTATAAATGTTTATAGACAGAAGTAAAAAATCACACCATTGTAAAATCATTACATTTATCACTCAGTTCAAACCAATGCGTAACCCTATGGTCAAGTTTTATAGGTATTATTCTATATCGGTATACTATTTGGTTTCGTATGAATTTTATTGTTAGTTCTGCCGGACGTGAAATGTCCAAATAAAGGCGGATACAACTGATTTTGTTGACCTTACTGAAAATATTCGAAATTTCTATGGGTACCTAGTAAATTCGTCATTGACACAATATTATATTGCCTGATAGGGCAGAATATATCTCCTCCAGAATACCGGTTGGACAAAAAGGTATTGAAAAGGTTACATAAGACCTTTTCATTACCTTTTCTAGTGTTAAGGGCTTGGTTATGTAAATCTTAATAATACATCTCAACTAAATAAACTAAAAAATTAAAAATTAAAAAAAAAATGTTATACATAGTTAGAATAGTGGGCTTATATTAGACTTAGACGTTAGAACATCTACAAATCGTATCATAATATTTTAGATCACAGCTAAAAATATTATAACATAACATACCTAGATAGCTAGGTACATATTGTATGATTATTACCATTATTTACTATGATAATACACATTACAAATTGCATGATTTGTTCGGACAATTTTTTT